CCCTGCATATGGGACATGCTACCTATGATTCAACTTCTAATATCTTGATTATCTACCATACAGTAATAGACATGGGGGAGGGGCACTTTTTTTACAGCCCCTAACCTTCAAATAAGAAGCTCCTTAAAGTACAGCAGAGTTCTTGAGAGGAGTTGGAACACTTAGAACGAAAGTATTTTAGAGGTAGGAAGAGATCTCTAAGATCTAGAGATAATTCAGCCCATCCCTCCTTAATCTTTTGCTCAAAGCCCATCTGCAGGAATCCTGCCAAGGAATCATTCAACAGAAGCTTGAACAGCCCCAGGGTTAGGGTCAGTTCAAGATGCCCACATCTGCTGAGGATCCATCATTCCAAATTCTTTCTTAGAACATGCTATGGCCGGCACAGTGGTTCATACCTGTAATCCGAGCACTTTGGGAGGGTGAGGCTGGAGGATCATCTGAGGTCAGAAGTTTGAGACCAGCCTGGCCAACATGGTGAAACCCCATTTCTACTAAAAATGCAAAAATTAGCCGGGCCTGGTGGCTCACACCTGTACAGCTACTTGGGAGACTGAAGCAGGAGAATCATTTGAACTTGGGACGTGGAGATTGCAGTGAGTGGAGATAGCACCACTGCATTCCACCCTGGGTGACTGAACAAGACACCGTCTCAAAAAAAAAAAAAAAAAGAACATGCTGAGATTCCTGTCCCTGCAGCCTCTGCCCAATGGTTCTTGTCCTCTCCTTAGAGATTTGCGGGAAACATCTAATTCCATTTCCATAGGACAGCCTCCAAACTATTTCAAGATAGCTCTCCTGCCTTTGTGTATTTTTTCCAGGATATTTCCTGAAGTCTTTCCTTATCTCTCATGGTTTAAATGTCCTGCATCACCCTGAATATGAATTCTGACGTTCCAGGCTTCAGATCAGACTTCTATACAGAATTCTAACCTAAGACCACCCTCAACATAACATTGGTGGGGAGGATTGAGGAGCATCCACTTGGAAATGACTATCAATATAGTCATGTTTTGTGACTATTCATTTCACAAGTTGTTCAAACATAAGGGCGGTTTCTAGTTTAGTTATCCTTTCTCCTGTTGGTAATCAAGGCTGTGTTCTTTACTAAGCTTCAAGAAAAGAATTGTAAAGATTATCCTCAAAAACATGATAATCATCAAGATGGGGCTGGCAGGAGGCTTGTTAGCACAAGGTTTTAGTGTGAAATGTGAACACTCCCTTATTTTCCCCATGAGCTATAACTGCTTTATGTTTATTCTAAATTAACTCTAGAATGTGTGAGAATTATTTATAACATGTATGAAAACACCATTTTCAGAGAATCTTAGCACCTTGTAAAGATTTGAGAATTAGATTTGACAATCTGTTAATTCTCATGAATGAAGAAACCACAATGAGAGATTATTTCCTTTGGACAGACTAGCAGTCATTTCAAAACCACTCACCCACATTTCAGATGAGGAAGGCTCACATTGAAGTGTGTTGTCTTCCCTCTAAAGCATCTATTGTGTAAAACACCTTTTACTTAAAGATGGCTGAAGTAAGAGTGTGAAGAGTTGGGCTTGCCTTCCAGTTACTAGGCTTTGTGCACATCACTTGTCCTTGCTGGGCCTCAGCCATTACCCTCCAGATAGCAGAGATATAAGCTTGGTAAAAAGCTCTCCCGACCAGAATTTAAGGTCCAGGCAGCAGAGTTTTTTTTTTTTTTTTTTTAATACCATGATATTCTCTGCTGTATACCCTGTGTCCACAACAGCAGCTGGCACATGATAGGGGCTAAATAAATGATTGCTGAATAATGCCTGACCCTAATGAGTCACAGTGATTAACAAATGAAATTGAAAGATAAACTAAAAGGCATCATGAAGTATAAAAACTGGCTGGGTGCAGTGGCTCATGCCTGTAATCCCAGCACTTTGGGAGGCCGAGGCGGGCGGATCACCTGAGGTCAGGAGTTTGAGACCAGCCTGGCCAACATGGCGAAACCCTGTCTCTACTAAAAAATACAAATATTAGCCGGGTGTGGCAGCATGCACCCATAACCCCAGCTACTCCGGAGGCTGAGGCAGGAGCATCGCTTGAACCTGGGAGGCAGAGGTTGCCGTGAGCCAAGATCGCACCAGTGCACTCCAGCCTGGGCAACAGAGCAAGACTCCATCTCAAAAAAAAAAAAAAAACTTACTATGTTTATTATGTGCCTCACTCCAAGAAAATTTGTTTTAATATCCATATCGATCAGAATTTTAATATCCATATTGACGAGAACTTGAAGTGATGTGCCTCACTCCAAGAAAATTTGTTTTATTTTATTTTTTTTTTTTTTGAGACGGAGTTTCGCTCTTGTTACCCAGGCTGGAGTGCAATGGCGCAATCGGCTCACCACAACCTCCACCTCCTGGGTTCAGTCAATTCTCCTGCCTCAGCCTCCTGAGTAGCTGGAATTACAGGCACGTGCCACCGTGCCCAGCTAATTTTTTTGTATTTTTAGTAGAGACGGGGTTTCACTATGTTGACCAGGATGGTCTCGATCTGTTGACCTCATGATCCACCCGCCTCAGCCTCCCAAAGTGCTGGGATTACAGGCGTGAGCCACCGCGCCCGGCCAAAAATTTGTTTTAATATCCATATTGATGAGAATTTGTAGGGCAAATTCTAAATCGAATTACTCTTCCACTCCTCTGTGATCCCAGGCTCTGCTTGTTTCTCCAACAGAATGTTAACTCATGCCTAAAATTATCTGAAGTATTCACAATGCCTATGACAACCCAGTGAAGCCGGTACTAGAATGAGACCCATTTTAGAAAAGGGAAGCTAGGTTTCCTGATGAAGAAACTTACTCAAGGCTGCAAAATCTCTAAACAGCAGAAATAGCTCTGTCTCAGCATGATTTGTAGTAGTTAGTCGTACATACAACAGTAGGCTGCACAGCCTGTCTCTCACCCACACAGAAAATGACTTGGCATCCTGCTGAGAGTTCTGCATACAGAGAGCAGAATCGGACAAATACCCAGATTTTGAAAAACGTCTATTGTAAACATGCCTTGTTTGGAAAATTATATAAAGAAAGAACACAAAAATTTGATTCGGTATTTCCACGTCTGGTAATTATCCCAAGGAAATAAGGAAAAAGCTACATGCTCGATGATAATGGTCAACACAAGACTTTTTAAAAAGCAAGTACACCAGACTGGTGTAAAGTTTCCATAATAAAGTAATTAAGTAAAACACAGGATAGAAATTCAATAAATATTCAACACTATGCAAGTACCTACGAATGACTTTAAGTGTAACGAGCTCAACTCACAACTAATAATGGTACACAACAGGGCAACAGGAAAGGAATACAGACAAGAGTTTGCTTTTGTGGGGTTCAATAATGTGGGTGAATTATTTCTATTTGTGCAATTAAATTTTTTAAACACTGGAGATCACACTTCGTCATGCCCCAAAGCCCCAGTCTGCATTTTCGTAACCCTTTCAAAAGCTAAACACCCAAATGGGGCCAATATTAACATAAGAAAAAAATTATCATCGAGCAGAATACTTAAAAATTTCATCACGGTTCCCCCTCAACCTCTGTTGGGGTTAGTTCTGAGTTGGATAAAATCATCTTTAAGGGGGTGACAGAAATATCCGTGACTAAAAAGCCAAGTTAATCAAATCGGGGGCTCCGTGTCAGGTTAGGAATGGAGAATGGCTGGGTGGGCTTGCTTTCAGAGCTGCCACCACAGGTCCCATCATCAGGGCTCGACTCCCTAGCGGCGCCTCAGGGAGCCCAGAGAGCCCAGGAGCCGGACGCCCGACCCCGGCCCCCGCCGACCCCTGACGGGAGAGAAGGAAGGGAAGGAGGGATGGAAGGACCGTGAGTGCAAGGTCGACCCCGTGAGCCCTCAGAAAGCCACCACCCCAGGACCCCGACCTGTCCGACGGCCGGCGCCACGGGCTCCCCGCCTCGTGCACCTGCGCCCCGCAATGCTGGATCCAGTGGCGAGTCTGGGCGAGGGCTGGCTGGCTCCCTCGCCCCGACTCGCCACTGGCTCCCGCCCGCCTACCTGGCCCCGACCCCAGCCCCGGCCCAGCCGCAGCCTCGGCTGCAGAAGGAAGAAAGCGCAACGTCTCCCGGCAGCGTCTCTAGGAGCAAAATGGCGACTCCATGCACAAGATCAGCTTCTGCGGCGACTGCGAGGCCGGTGGGCGGGGCGGGGAGGGGCGGGGCGGGGCCAGAGCCCGGAAGACGGAGGCACCTGGCTCCGGGCTGTGGGCGTGGCCCACCCGAGGGGAAGGCGCCGGACAGTGGGCGTAGCCACAAGGGTAAAGTCGGGCTGGAGCGATTGGCTGGGTAGTGGGCAGGGATACGCCTGTTCTGGCCCACGGGGAGCTGCTAGCCCGAGACCAGCTGTGACAGCCGAGGCACGTTACAAGGAATTAGTATAGACAGAGTATGACATTTGGAATTACAAATACCCGGGTTCAAACCTCCAGGGGCCTGTAACCTTGGACAAGTCATTTCACCATTCTGAGCTTGTTTTCTCATCTGAAAAACAAAGATGACAGCAGCACCCACTCCATAAGACTGTTCTGAGAATTAAATGAGATAACACGAACGGGCGCAGTGGTTGACGGCCTGTAATCCCAGGACTGTGGGAGGCCGTAAGCGGGCGGATCACTAGGTCAGGAGTTCGAGACCACCCTGACCAACATGGTGAAACCCGGTCTCTACTAAAAATACAAAAAAAAAAAAAAAAAAAAAAAAAAAAATTAGCCAGTTGTGGTGGGGGGCGCCTGTAATCCCAGTTACTCAGGTGGCTGAGGCAGGAGAATCGCTTGCACCCAGGAGGTGGAGGTTGCGGTGAGCCGAGATCGCGCCACTGCACTCCAGCCTGGGCGACAGAGAGAGATTCCGTTTCAAAAAAAAAAAAGAAAGAGACAACACATCGCTCTTAGCACAGTTCCAGGTGTATAATAAATGGCTAATTTTTGTATTCTTTGTAGAGACGGGGTTTCGCCATGTTGGTCAGGCTGGTCTCGGACTCTTCGGTGATCCGCCCGCCTCGGGCTCCCAAAGTGCTGGGATTACAGGCATGAGCCACCACGCCGGGCTTCCATTGCCTAAATTCTTCATAACTTAGGTAATGATTACTCTTTATTGTATGGATAACATAATAGCAAACACGTGGGTCCTCTTTTAAGTCCTTTACACATGTTAACGGTAACTTGTTTGATTAAATTAAGAGCATAAAGTAGGTATTATCCTCTCCATTTTAACAGTTGTGAGAACTGAGACGCCGACGTTAAATAACTTTTCCAATGACAAAGAAATTGCCAGAATTGCGACCCAATAGGCTTTGCACCAGGCGTCGCTTATCTAATCCCTGTACCACATCGTCTCTCCAATTCTGCTTTGGATTTTTCACAATAGTGCGGAATGAAATTATTCATCAGAGGTTGCACAGCTAGCTAGAGCCTTTATAGTTCAACCTCTTATTTTAGAAACGAAGAATGCTTCAAGTCCTTGATGGTGTGAAAAAAAAAAAAAGTAAAAAGTAGAAACTAAGAATACAAGCATCTCAACCAACGAATTATAAATTAGGTGATATTTCGTGAAATTCAGTCGTTTGAGACATTTCCTTTGCCTGACAACTTTACAGGGACACATCGCTTTGCAAGGAGCAAGGCCCATGACCCCAGTGATTATCTGCATAACAAAATTTGATTCCTCTTCTGCGGGACGTCGGCTGGGCTCACGTCTCTTCTGCGCTGGGATCTAACTCCGGACACACACCCCACCCCTCCGCTGTGGCTGGCATAGACTTCACGCGTCACATATCGGCATGTGACTGGATCTGGCCAATCAGGGTAGTTAATCCCTCTCCGCTCGCTGATTCGCTCCGAAGATAGGCCACTGAGCCAATCGGAGCCCACGAAACACCGTCTGCTGCCCTGCGCCGGGACTGTAGCAGGAGGCTCGCTCTGTCTAGCTGACGCTGCAGTTGTTGGGATGCCCGGAGGGGAACTGACTGAGGAAGGCTCTGAGAGAGGAGAGAGAGATTGAGATACAGACCGGGCCCAGATGAGTTTACGCTGAATCTGAAGTCAGTAGGTCCCTGGACTTTTCTATTATGGAAGCCAACAAGAACCTCCCCTGCACCCTCTGAAGCCAGTGTGGATCGAGTTTCTAGCACTTGCAGGGTCTACACGGTCTCCTCTGCTTCCTTCTCCATAGCTGTTTCTTACCAGCCTGGGGCCTCCACCCTGAACTACTGGGAAACATGCTGTTCCTGCCTCCAGGCCTGTACTTCTTCCTTCACCCCCTTCCCCCACTAACTCCTCCTTGAACTTGGTATCTCAGCTCCATTGTCACTTTTGAGCCTTCCCCTAAACCACCCCCTTGCCAAATAAAGCTGTTTCCTGTACTTTTCTTTCACTGGGCTTATCACGATTTCTAATTAAATGTTTGGGTGATTATTTGACAAATATCACCACTCCAGCCTCTGTATACTGTAAGCCCTATGAGGGCAGTCTCTTTGTCCTTCCTGCTGATCACTGTTTCCCAGTGCTTGGCACAAGTATGGTACTAAATAAATGTCTGGAAAATTGAGTGCCTTTTCCTTGCTGGAAAGTGGACAGTAGCACAGTATTATATAGTGTTTGCACCATACAAGGATAATATTACTGAAAATTTTTTATTGTAACAGACAGAATCTTGCCCAAGCTGGAGTACAGTGGTGCAGTCATAGCTCACTGCAGCCTGGAACTGGGCTCCAGTGATCCTCCCACCTCAACTTCAAAGCTCTGGGATCACAATCATGAGCCACCACTCTCAATTTTTTTTTCCACTCTCATAAGCCAGAATGAGCTAACTCCAGTATATCACTGCGTCCAGCGTTCTGCAGTGAGATGGCTTGTTCCTCAATAGTTTCCCACGCTGCAGGCACTTAGTTTGTAGTTTCCTTTGTTCTGTTCTAGCAATACCACTCCTCCATCCGCCTTTCATTCTCCAAGGACTATTGAAATGCCTCACGGGCTGATATCAAATATCTTATTCTCTTTATCCTTGGGGTTTAAGCCATACGATTGTGCTAAGGTAGGTGTTCAGCCAAGATGACCCACCAGGTGACTGCAGCCCCAGCCACCACCTGACTGCAACTGTATGAAAGACTCCAAGCAAGAGTCACCTAGCTAAGCCCAATCAAGCCACAAAAAATTGAGAGCTAAGAAATTTTTTATTAAAGCCCAAATTTGGGCATATTTTGTTACACAATGGATAATGAGAAGAAAGGAGCAAACGCAGAATGTAAAGCCTGTGGTCAGTTCCACACTAATGCAGTTTTTGCTTAGTCTATTGCTAAACTTGATAATCCCTTGCCCACTTGGAGGTTGCAGTCAGAGTCTTTGCATGTAATAGAAGTGCTCAGCTTGCCTGCAACACATTATTGGCCATATTCAAGGGCCACACTGCATATTATGGGTAACCCCCCACATGGGCACCGAGGATGGAGAGCTGTGCAAACCCCAGGCACAATTAGTGCCTGAAGAATATCTTAGTTTATAGGGTTATTACTCAGCTATTTCCTATATATAATCCTTTATATATAATCAAATATTAGTTTATAGAATTAGTGCTTGAAGTATAACGTAATGCTTACATATATCTAGCTTATATAATCATACTTAGTACTTACATCTAGCATACTTAGTTCCATGTAATCTTTCTATATAATCATATAGGTATTGTAGTCGGAGCTGTACCGACACATTTAGTGCTGATTTATATAATCCTTCTAAATAACCACATAGTACTTTGTAGTAGGAGGAATGCCTAAAGCAGTCACAAAGCAGAAGCAGTACATGGGAAAACAGCCAGACCAGGACAAGAACCAAGGACCCAGGCAGTGGCGTCCCTGCCTGAAAGGGCATATGCTGTATGGCAGGCTTGGAGCAAGAGCCTCTCCTCCTGAAAAAAGGACTTGTAGTACCTTGTATCCAGTTCCTGTGGAAAGTAGGCCTCCAGCCTGAGATCCTGCAAATAACCAAGGTCAAGGTGACTGTACACCCTGTCAGTCTTTTCTCACTTCTGTGCTAGCTCAAATCATCCTCCCATAAATATCTTAGAGAATAGCACAAGTCTGTCAGCTTCCACTGCATTGGCTTACAGTATCCTTCTATCAGAAATCCTTTGACGTCTCCAGCCCCAGATAAGTATTGTGCATGACACCTATTGCACACAGCCCACCTCTTTGCCTCAGTGACCTAATGGGGGTGGACCCCTTTTCTGTACACAACCCTCTACTACTGCACCAGAATGGCCCCCTACTGCACATGGCCCACCTCTCTGCCCAGGTGACATAATGGGGTGGCCCCCTCACTTGTTACTCATGTGATTATGTATGCCCTATCACTAAGCCTATAGATGATGACCTCATCATGACCCTGACCCTGCTTGTACCTAATAAATACAGATGCTTCTGGACGTTTGGGGCCTCACTGCCTCTGCTCATAGGTGGCGTGGCCCCCCAAGTCCAGCTGCTCTTCTCTAGTTCTTCAGTGTCCTGTCTCTTTACTTCTCTGATCCTGCACCTCATCACAGCATAAGGGACACCCCACAACCTTGTGGGGCCAACAGCTCTACACATATAGCCTATAAATCAAGATACTCCGGGAGGCTGAGGCAGGAGAATCGCTTGAATCAGGGAGTTGCAGGTTGCAGTGAGCTGAGATCACACTACTGCCCTCCAGCCTGGCGACAGAGTGAGACTCTGTCTCAGAAAAAAAAAGACGCTCATGTCCAAGACATTTCTCTTCAACATTTTTTAAAGGAAGGAAAGGAATCTTTGCTATAGTTTGATAGAAATTTTTCAGCAGTATGACATAACAGAAAATACAGGATTCTCCTTCAAATGGTTGTTTGAATGAAAAAACAGGGACTCGGCCGGGCGTGGTGGCTCATGCCTGTAATCCTGGCACTTTGTGAGGCCGAGGCATGTGGATCACCTGAGGTCAGGAGTTCCAGACCGGCCTGGCTAACATGGAGATACACGCTCTCTACTAAAAAAAATGCAAAATTAGCCAGGCGTGGTGGCACATGCCTGTAATCCCAGCTACTCAGGAGGCTGAGGCAGGAGAATCACTTGAACGTGGGAAGCAGACAGAGGTTGTGGTGAGCCGAGATGGCACCATTGCACCCCAGCCTGGGCAACAAGAGTGAAACTCCATCTCAAAAAAAAAAAGTATAAAAAAACAAAAGAAGAAAAAGAAAAAACAGGGACTCAGCTGTCTGTCACAGGATGTAGCCTGGATCCTTTCTCTTCTCCTCATTGCAGAAATGACCTTGGACAGATCCCTCTACCTCTCTAAGTTTCTGTTTCCTCACTGGAAAAATGAGCACTAATATTAGCAGCCATATGACGGCTGGGGGTGAGGAGTGATCTTTAGATGGAGTCATTGAATAAGAGGCACCAAGGAAGCTTTTGCAGCCACCTCTCTATCCTTGCCTGTGTGGCCATCAGGAAAGAAAAAAAAAGGCTCCCCTTTTACCCAGTGGAGGAGGATGACAGCTGGCCTGGCTGTAGGAGGCCGCAGACACCAAAGCCAGGTTACCAGAAAAGAGGCCTTGGAAGTTTCTATCATTGAGTCCTTCCCCACATCCTCTAGCTTTTCTCCTTTTTCTTTTCTTTATTTCCTTCCTTCCTTCCTTCCTTCCTTTCTTCTTGCTCTGTTGCCCAGACTGCACTAGAATGCCATGGCATGATCTCAGCTCACTACAACCTCCGTCTTCCAGGTTCAAGCTATTCTCCTGCCTTAGCCTGCCAAGTAACTGGGACTATAGGTGCGCACCACCACACCCGAATAATTTTTGTAATTTTAGTAGAGACAGGGTTTCAGCATGTTGGCCAGACTGGTCTCAATCTCCTGACCTCAAGTGATCCACCCGTCTAGGCCTCCCAAAGTGCTGATAGTACAGATGTGAGTCACTGCACCCAGCTTCTTTTCTCCTTTTTCCATTTTGCTCCAAAATGAAAAGAACTTTGTTGTCTTTTCTTTTTTCCTGAGACGGATTCTCACTCTGTCATCCTGGATTGAGTGCTGTGACACAAACTCAGATCACTGCAACCTCTGCCTCCTGGGTTCAATCAATTCTCCTGCCTCAGCCTCCCTGGCTAAGAACTTCAATGTCTTTTGTGAGCACAATAATATTTACACATTGTAAAAATATTCAAATGAGAAAAAAGAAAAAATTAAAAAGATATTTGCCATTATCCCATGTGGAGAGGTAGCCACTCTAGGAATCTTCCAATCTGCCTTTTCCCTGTAACAATTTATTGCAGGCATGATTCCATGTTGATGAATTCAGGTCAACATCATCATTATATAAGCCATGAATGAAAGACTGCAGACTTGGGAACCAGCACCTAGATGGAAATTCCTTCTCTGCTCACCAGCTGTGTGACCACAACGAATTTCTTAACCTCTCTATACCTGTTTTCACATCTACAAAATAGGAATAATAACATCATCTATCTCACAGGGGTGTCTTGATGACCAAGTGAGTTATCTGGCACACAGCTGACAACCACTTTCTATTAGCTACAGTGATTATGAGCTATTGTGATATGAATGAACCATTATTTTCTCTTAACTAACCCCTCATTCTGGGCACTTTTTACTATTAATACATAACCTGTCTTTCCACCTTTGCCCAAATATCTCCTCATGTTAGATTTCTAGAAGTAAGCTTGTTTGGTCAAAGGATATGCCCTTTTAAAATTTTGTTCCCTGAAATTTTGTACCAATTTACAGTCTTACCAGGAAGGTGGAAGAGCATCCATGTCTCTTCATCCTAACCAACACCAGGCACCATCCATTATTTGTAGCTTGTTTAAGTGAACGGTCAGCATTTCCTGGGCTTTTAAAATTACTTGTTCATGGGCCAAGTGCGATGGTTCACACCTCTCATCCCAGCACTGAGGGAGGCTGAGGTGGGTGGATCACCTGAGGTCAGGAGTTTGAGATCAGCCTGGCCAACATGGGGAAAACGCATCTCTACTAAAAATATTTAAAAATTAGCCAGGCGTGGTGGCGGGCACCTGTGACCCCAGCTACTCAGGAGGCTGAGAGAGGAGAATTGCTTGAACCTGAGAGGCGGAGGTTGCAGTGAGCCGAGATCACACCACTGCACTCCAGCCTAGACAACTAGAAAAAAACACCATCTCAAAAAATAAATAAATAAAAATAAAACAAAATAAAATTACTTGTCCAAATCAGGCTGCCTGTAGCTGCCCTGACTGCCTTGCTAGTTGACCTTCACTTCCATTTGTTCACTCAACAAATATCAACAAAGCACTTAAGTCATGCCAGGCCCAGTGCCGAGGACTGGGGCTACAGCTGGGAATGGCAAAGTACCCACCTCATATGGTGACCACAGTAGATGATCTACTGCATGCTAAGAGTTTAACAATGTCCTGCTTTAGTATTCAATAAGCGACACTGTGCCATGTAGGTTAAATATTTATAATACATATGTTCTCTAAATATATAAGGAGTATTGTAAGCCAGGCATGGAGGCTCACACCTATAATCCTAGCACTTTGGGAGACTGGG